CTTTTTATTATGTTATGAGAAAAACGTATTTATAAAAATACCATTACTTTTTAATAACACGTAAGCAAAAATCCGGCGCCACGTAGGAAATCGCAGCCGTGTTTTCATTAAGTAAGCCGTAAAGCGCTACAGTTGTCATTACAGCTGGGTTATTGTTATGTTGTGACTGAGTTAAACAACGCGGCTGACTTAAGAAAAATTGGCTGACTTAAGAAAAATTGGCTGACTTAAGAATATAAGTTAGCCGTTAGTGATGGCTGACTTATGGAAATATAGCTGATTTATGGGATAACGGCTGACTTACGTACACAAGTTACGGCTGACTTATACATCGGCGGTATGATTTCTAGAAAATTTGGCTGAGTTGTAGTTAAGTCATGGCTGAGTTATGTTTCGCCAGCTAGGTAATGAACATCACCTGGCTGAGTTATTAAATTTACGACTGACTTATGAGAGGTTGTTACGGCTGAGTTATATTTAACCAGCTGTAACTGGCTGGATCAAAAGTAAACTCAGCATAATTACGGATGACTTATTAGCGAAAGATTAATTACTAGAATATCATCCGTTTGACGGCTGATTTATTTGACGATACGGCTGACTTATAATTTTCCATTTTAATTATGGTTGATTTATTAGCAAAACATTAATTACTGAATTAATATTCATGTTTCAGCTGGCTTATGTTGTACTTGATGGCTGGTTTATTTAGGCTGAGTTATGTGTTCGGTTGGTGGCCGACTTACCGATTTTCCATGTCATCATCAATGTCATCAACTCTTACTTGCCATATCATTACTAACGTTCAAAAGATAAAATAAGGGTATATGTTACAGACGCGGAGTTTTATTCTTCATTCTTCATCTTCTTTATCTATCTTCTTCATCTTATTCTTCATTTTTCTATGAGATTTTAGGGATCTGGTAATTTTTTTTTCGGCAACTAGGTCTAAAAATTATAGATTTAAAAAATAAAAATCTGAGACAGATTTACTGCAGTCGTCGTCTTTGATGATGGTCGGTTAAGAAGAAGCTTCCTCTCCTCCAGTGTCATGTATGGTGGTCTGACATCTTTCTGCTCCCTCTCCCATCGAATTCACCGTCTTGCAGAAGAATAAATAGTCAAAGAGAGAAATGAAAAAGCAAAGTTCCATAAATTGTAAGAAAAAAAAGTGAATACGAAGAAGATGATGAATTTGAAAGCTGATTTAATATGTTTAATGACTCATATTTTGCATCATCTGAATATGATCACTTTAGTTTGTCCTGTGAGTCTCCAACACATATGTTACGGCTCAGTTATTCATATGTTTCGGCTGAGTTATGCCTACGTTACGGCTGAGTTTCAGTCTAAACTATAAACCTAATCTCTAAACATAACCTTTAAACTTTAAAATAATAAAAAATAGTAGATTTAATGTTCGAAAGATAAATTTATAATTTTTATAGCTTTATAGTTCTATAGTTTAGGGTTTGAAGTTCGAACTTAAGAAGAGATCAAAGTTTTAATATTGTGTTCAGGGTAGAATGAATAATTTATTCCCGCTCAAAATACGAAACGTCGCGAAACAAATTACAGTTGAAGGCTGACTTATAGGAACGTTACGGCTAACTTATACCATTCATATACATTACAGTTGAGTTTTGTCTACGTTACAGCTGAGTTATGCATACTTTACGGCTGAATTATACATACGTTACGGCTGAGTTATGCATATTTTACGGCTGAGTTATGCATACGTTACGGCTGAGTTATAACTCATCAAATTGCAGCTGACTAATGCATACGTTACGGCTGAGTTATGCATACTTTACGGATGAGTTTCACTCTTAACTATAAACCTAATCTCTAAACATAACCTTTAAATTTTAAAATAATAAAAATTATCAGATTTAATGTTCAAAAGATAAATTTATAATTTTATAGCTTTATAGTTCTATAATTTAGGGTTTGAGGTTCAAATTTAAGAAGGTTTTAAAGTTTTAATATTTGCACCCAAAATACAAAACGTCGCGAAATAAATTACACTTGACGGCTGACTTATAGGAACGGTGCGGCTGAGTTATACATATGTTATGTCTGAGTTATGCATACTTTACGGCTGATTTATATATATGTTACGGCTGAGTTATAACTCATCAAATTACAGCTGAGTTATGCATATGTTAGGTCTGAGTTATGAATACTTTACGGCTGAGTTATGCCTACGTTACAGCTAAGTTATAATCAAATTATGGCTGAGCTTTGTATATGTTATGGCTGAGTTATGGTTACAATACGATTTTGTTATAATCAAAGGCGAGTTATGGTTACACAATACGACTTTGTTATAACCAAGTCGACCAAAAAAACCTCTGACTGGTTCAAAATTCATCATCCAAACCTAAACTGAAGTTAGAGACCGAAAGAAAAACTAAAATACGAGTCTATAGATGATGAATCAAGAGACATATCAGTCGTATGAATAACATAGATCTAGAAAAAAAAACAAAAGTTGGAGACAGATCTATTGTAGTCGTCGTCGTCTTCGATGGTGGTTGGTTAGAGAAGAAGCTTTGTTTCCTTCAGTATCTGTATGGTGATCCGACATCCTGCTGTTCCCTCTTATATGGTGATCCGATATCTTGATGCTCTCTCTTTCATCGGATTCGTCGTCTTTCAGAAGAAAAAATTTGTCAAAGAGAGTGATGAAACGGTTAAGTCCCATCAATTATAAGAAAATGAGAGAATGATTATTGACCTTTAGATTTCATTTAATCAATGACCATAAATTGTGATCCTTGAAAAAGAAAGATAACCAATGATATAGAAGGATCAGGATAGAGAAAATGATCATTTGGAACCCTTAGATTAAAATCAATCAATGGTCATGGTAAAAATACAAAACGTCGCAATTTAATTTACACTTTGAGGCTGGATTATTGACAATACGACTGAGTTATAGTTACTGCTGAGTAATGTTCCCGCTTACCCCAGTGTTTCGCAAGTATTTAGTTCCCGTCCAAAAAGACGAAACGTCGCGATTAAGTTACACTTTGTGGCTGAGTTATTGACATGTTACAGTTGAGTTATGTTTAGGATAAGCTTATGTTTTAGGGTTAATTATTTGGGGTTTAGTGTTTAGTGTTTAGGATTTAGGTTTTATTGATTAGGTACCATTATAAAATATAAGAAATTACACAAATTCAGGTAAAAAAAAATTATATGGTATACTTTATATTTGGTGCGTTCAACACCTATATAGACACATAAGGTTTTAAGTATTTGTAAGACAACATATACCTCAGGATCATGATCACTTTGAAACTTGTAAATTCAATGAAGTATACACACTCTATTGATTATATATTCATCTAAAATTGATAATATTAATTTCTAATAACATTTAAAGTACATTTTTCAATATTAGGGTATGTTTGTGGTTTGGCTGAGTTATATGAAGCATTACGGCTGGCTTATAGAACCAATACAGTTGGGTTATATTAAATTTGTTGATTTTAGGGTCTGTTTGTAGTATGGCTGAGTTATATGAAGTGTTACAGCTGGCTTTTAGAAACGATACGGCTGGAGTTTATTAAACTTATTTTATTTTAGGGTATATTTGTGGTATGGCTGAGTTATATAAAGAGATACAGCTGGCTTATAGAAATGATACGGCTTGGTTATATAAAACATACTATTAGCGAAAGACAATACAAAACGTTCAAAGGCTACAGAAACTGCTGATACATCCCACTTCTTCCTTCATCGAGGATATCTGCTGCCATCTTCACCCGTATATCTTGAATATTCTTATTATTTATCCCATCAAAAGTCACGCCAAACGCCAAGCATTCCACAAATTTCAATGAATATACTCTACAATCATCAACTTGGTCGTTTTATGGAATGTATTAGCCTTTCCTCTATCAGAATGCAAACTGCTTCTTATTATGTTTTCAGAGATTGGCAGGAGTATTAGGTTTTAGAAGCCCCTTCAGCATAAAATATTAGAGGATAATCACGTGCTTGATCAGAAACTTCCATCTGATCCTAAAACATGCATATATAAATCAACCGAAATAGAAAAATTAACTCAGTCATAACATAATACATAACTCAGCCGTAATGAAACCAAAACTCAGCCACAACATTGTATAACTCAGCCATAATACAACAAACTCAGCCACAACTTAATACATAACTCAGCCACAATATAATCTATAACTCAGCCGCAATAGATCACAACGTACATCAAACTCAGCCACAATATAAAATAACTTGGTTCAACGTAGTCTATAACTCATCCACATCGTAAATCAAACTCAGTCACAGTATAAAATAACTCGGTTACAACATAATCTATAACTCATCCACATCTATAATGACTAAGCCACAACATACCGGAGAAAATGATACGATTGCGACAAAGACGATTGCGTAGAAACTTTTGCGGAGAATACGTTTTCGACGAAGACGATATCAGAGACAGTTCGAGACTAGATGATTTGAGTAACAGTTAGGGTTTAACGACGAAGAAAGAAAGTTGTGACGATATGATCTTTTTTCTACTCACCGGAAATATGGAGACGGTTGATTTTCCCGTGTCACAAAAGTTAGTGACGTGGATTGTCTAATTAATGATGTGGATTTGATAATTAAAATTAATCTCAACAAAAAAATTTAAACAAAAATCTTTATTGTAAATTTTTAAGGGTCTGAAAATATTATAGTAATTTTTAGAAAATGTATATTATTATATTCATATATAATTTTTCTGTATTATTCTAGTAATTTTCTTTAGTAAAAGTATAACAATAATAAATAAAATCCAAGAATCACATCTAAAATCTCAACATTGATGTCCTTCTAGATCTATCTTTGCATTTATGTTGCAAACGGCAACATTCATCGTCGTTTTGTCCACAAGACAATCAAAACCCTAAGGCTATAAAAGAAACTTAAAATCCCAACAACAAAACATTTCTAACACACAGAGAGAGAGAGAAAAAGAATAAGTAATGGCTGAGAAAGAAGAAGTAAAGCTTTGGGGGATATGGGCGAGCCCTTACAGCCGTCGTATCGAGATGGCTCTCAAACTCAAAGGCATACTGTACGATTATGTTGAAGAAATATTGGAGCACAAAAGCCCTTTGCTTCTTGCACTCAATCCTATCCATAAGAAGGTCCCTGTTCTTGTTCACAATGGTAAAACCATTCTTGAGTCTCGAGTGATTCTTGAATACATCGATGAGACTTGGAAGCAGAATCCACTTCTTCCTCAGGATCCTTACGAGAGATCTAAGGCTCGTTTCTTAGCCAAACTGGTCGACGAACAGGTATCTTAATTCTCTTAATTTTTTTTTCAGAATTTGCTAATTTATTTTTTTTACCAATTTCATTAGCACATTCACACGTCCAACAATAAATATTTTCTTTCGGATCTAATTTTTATGATTTGATTTTGACCTTTGATTTTGGGTTTTGGAGTTGAATTACAAGTCAAATAATAAAATAATTGGTTAGATTATTATTTTTTCCAAATTTCGAGGATCTCACTATTTTAATAAGCTAGAAATATTTTTTAGAACTACTACTACTGAGCTTAATATTTTGAATAAACTGATGCTCAAATAATAATAAATAGAATTTGATTGATTAGTTTTGTATGACATCCAGATTTGATCATTAGTTTGTCTAACATGTCTATACTCTATCGATAAATGGGATTGATAAGAAAGAAATAGAAATATGTACAGCACTAGCTGTCTAGCCACAGCAGAAGTTAAGAAAAAAAAACCTTGAATATTTAGTAGAATTAGCTAATTAATTTGACCTCACTAATTTTTATTATCTTATTGTTGATGACTCTTGTAGATTATGACTACGGGATTTGTATCAATGGCAAGAGCAGACGAAAAAGGAAGAGAGGCTCTGGCCGAGCAGACAAGAGAACTGATCATGAATCTGGAGAAGGAACTTGTCGGAAAAGATTTCTTTGGCGGTAAGAGTGTCGGGCTCTTGGATTTAGTTGCGGGAAGTACAATTCCGTTTTGTTTGGAGAGAGGTTGGGAAGGAATGGGAATCGAAGTGATTACAGAGGAGAAGTTTCCAGAGTACAAAAAATGGGTGAAGAACTTGGAGAAGCTTGAGTTTGTGAAAGATTGTATTCCTCCAAGAGAGAAACATGTTGAACACATGAATAAAATGGGTGAGAGAATCAGATCGGCTTAAATGTTCTTTACTTTTTTTTATGATTAGTTCTTTGTTCTAATCAGATCAAGCTAATGTTATCGTAGTTTGCTCAAAAAAAAATCGTGTTTCTCTTATTAATAAAGACTAGAGACTTTTTCTGCGCTACGCCCAAATTAATTACTTATAATTTATCAAAATTATGTATTTGGATTTATCTTGTTTTACTTTAATTATATTTTACATTTTAAATTTAATACGTAAATCCATTAACTATTAAAAACTATTCTACTTAGATTTTCATATATTTTTATATTAATTTTAGATTAATATACAATTTGTATTTGATTATATACATTATATAATATCTATAAATACATATATTAAAACTATCAATGTGCTAAACAATGTAGTCTGTTAGATATTTATCATAAAATTAAATTTCATAGGTATCGTAAATTAATTTGTGGAATGATTTACATTAATTCCTGTAAATATCAGTAAGACATTATAGAAAATTATTTTTAGTAGCTAAGTAAACAATAGTACACAATTCTTGACTCCGTGAAAAACAACTTAACAAACAAACGTATTTTATCTAAATGGAAAAGGTTTAAAATGTTTAATTTAAAAGTGTTGACAAACTTTTAAAAAACTATCACATAAAAATTTCAACCAAGGCTCGGTAAATTAGTTGATCCTAATTTTTAGTTTGTTTTACTGGCCTGTAATATTTAATATAATATTTCATTTCATTTCACTACAAGAAAACTCGTCCGTTACTAGGACGGGTTTTCCTCGTTAGTTCCTAGTAAATGGCCTTTTACTAGGAATTTACGAGGAAACGCGTTTCTTCGAAACACGTTCATCGTAATGCCATTTTCCTCGTAAGGTCGTAGCGAATTTACGAGGAAAGTTTTCCTCGTAAAGGCGTGGTAATATTTTCCTCGTAAAGTCCTCGGAAGGTTTCCTTGTAAGCTCTTAGTAAACATTTCCTCGTAAGGTCGTAGAGAAACATTACGAGGAAATAACTAGAACTATTTACGAGGATATTACTTGGAATATTTTACGAGGATTTTGCTTGGAAATGTTTTTTTCCTATTAAAAAAATAATTACAAATAATTAATTTATTTTTTAAAAATAAAAAAATCAAATTATAAATAAAATAAAAAAATAAAAATTTTTATAAATAACTAGATAATATACAATAAGTTTTTAAATTCATAATATACAAATAAAAATAAAAGAAACTACGGATGCTGGTCGTGAAATTGCTGACTGAACAAAACGTCGTCTTGGCTCGGCAAATCCTCTCCATAGTTGATTGCCGGCTGTGACTGTGATGGCGGAGGATGTTGGGTACTTGGAATCCCTGCACGTTCCCGTCTCTGACGCAACAGCTCCTGCACTTGCGGGTTTCCAACCGCCATAATGTCGAGGATATTGGTGACAGAAGTGAGATCATCGGTGAGCGAAGTCTCTTGAGACTGCGTCGCCTCCAACTGCGAGCGCAGCTGATCATTGACATCGTGCTGCTCCTGATGATAAGACGATGTCGCTGCATGGACATCGTTAACTGAGCCAATCCCGATGATACGCCCCTTTTTCCTAGGGGCGACCTGAAAATAAAAATATTAATATCATTAAGAAAAATTTAAAAAATATTAAAAATAAAAAAGTAAAACAAATGATTTACCTCCTCGTAAATCTTATCCACGTCAACAGTGGATAATATGAATGGAGACCCAGTCTGCTGAGTCAGCTGGGTCTGGCGCTCGTCAACTCGGGCAACAAGCTCGTTGTAGATCCTCTCCGAAGCAGGATCTACAAACTGCCCAGCCTTGTTCCGGTGGGTCCTCTCGTACAGGTCTTTCAGAGATGGAAGAACTCCTGTCTCCTTAGCCTAAAATTAATTTATAAAATTAAATATTAATTTA